GGATCGAGTGACTAATGTACTAATATTATTTTTTTTGAAGAAATTATTCCCCCGGAAAAGTGATCCACCAATTGACTAAGAACCGGGTTCCTACTTACTGCTCGGTAAACAGAGGAGTGTGGAGTAAGGAAACTTGCTCAACGTTTCACACTGCCCGGGAATCAAACCCAGGTCACTCGCTTGTTAGGCGAGTGCTCTAACCAGTGATCTACAAGACTTCACGCTCCTACCACTCGCTGCGGGAAAAACAATTCTTCCTAATTTCACTGCTAAACGGTTTACCTTCATTTTTAAGAGAGGAAGGGCAAAAGGTTCCAGAGGGAGGGAGCAAATTGACTGATGGTGGCCGGGGGACATGAAAAGCCCTGAGTTGGCGGATGGGAGAAACTCTAATTCAGCCCCTGTGCCTCTTGCCAGCCTCAGTTACTCAATGCACAGGGAAATCAAATCCTATCAACAGCAGCTCAGCAGAGCAGAATAAAGCACTGACCTGGTCCAGTCTCCCGAGGTTAGATGATTATTGGATCCAAGTGAAGTAAGGGCATTCGATTCAATCTCATTTCCTTTCATGAAATACAACCTTTTCCGACTCAGATATTTCCAAACTACGGTTCTCATTATTAGAAGACTTCACACAATCTGTGTTTGAAAAGTTTCAATTCTGTGGCAGGCTGCGTCAGAGCAAAGCTAGCCTCCGGCTCAATTGCTCAAGGTCTCATCTCTGGGTTAGCAAAAGAGCACCAGCACAGAAACGATGTGGAGAAAGAGAGCAGGGAATGGGATTAGAATAGGATCTCCAGTGGGGGAGAGAGCCCCAGCATAGACCCAACAACAATAATAATCCTCGCATTTGATACAGCACCTGTATCACATCTTTGAGACGTATTAAAGAGCTTCACAGAATATTGGTAATTGGTTGGGAGGCAGGAAACAGAGAGTAGGGCTAAAGGGAGCGTTCTTTATTTGCCAGGAAGTGACAAGTGGTGTCCCCTAGGGGTCTCAGCTACTCATCATAAATGTCTTGAACCAAAGAATAGAAAGTTTTATATCCAAGTATATAAAACAACACTAAACTAAGAGGTTCAGTAAATTGCGTAGATGGGAGTAGGAAGTTATAAGGGATTTAGACAGATTAAGTGAGCGGGCAAAGCTGTGGCAGATGGAATTCAATGTAGGGAAGAGTGAGGTCGTCCACTATGGACCGAAAAAAGATAAAGCAGAATATTTTCTTAATGGGGATAAATTAAGAATTGTGGAGGAGCAAAGAGATTTGGGTGTCCATATCCAAAAATTACTAAAAACTAGTTCCCAGGTGCAAAAAGTAATCAAAAAGGCAAATGGAATGTCAGCCTTTATCTGAAGGGCCTGGAATACAAAGGGGAAGGAAGTGATGCTTCATCTATATAGAGCGTTAGTCAGACTCCATCTGGAGATTGCGTTCAGTTTTGGGCACCACACCTCAGGAAAGATATATTGATATAGTGACCCTGGAGGAGGTGCAGCACAGGGTCACTAGAATGTTACCAGGCCTAAAAGGGTTAAGTTCCGAGGAAAGGCTGCGTAAACTTAGAGTGTATTCCCTTAAGTTTAGAAGGTTGAGGGAGGATTTGATTGAGGTATTTAAGATGATAAAGGGATTTGATAGGGTAGATACAGAGAAGCTATTTCCTCTGGTGAGGGAATCCAAAACAAAGGGACATAGTCTTAAAATTAGAACCAGGCCATTTAAGAGTGAAATCAGGAAGAATTTTTTCACTCAGAGGGTGGTAGAAATCTTGAATTCTATCCCCTAAAAGGCTATGGATGCTGGATCCACACACACCTTCAGGAGTGAGGTTGATAGATTTTTGGCAGGTCAGGGGATTAAGAGATATGTGGAGAGATCGGAAAATTGGAATTGAAAGGATTAGTTGAGGTGCAAGTCAGCCATGATCTAATTAAATGGCAGAACAGGCTTGAAGGGCTGAATGGTCTCCTCCTGTTCCTATGTTCTATGTATACCTTAAAGTGAAATGACTGTGATAGTATATGGGCGATGGGGAGAGAGTAGGGAATCGGATTAGAGTAAGAAAGTTCCAGTGGGGGAGCGAGCAATGGGGGAAGTGCAGGGAATGGGATTAGAGTGCAGCTAGCATAGATAAGATGGCCTCCTCCTGAGCTGAAGTATGTCTGATTCAGAGGTCGACTGAAATATTGGCAGCAATGGGCTAGTGTGGTGCAGCATACTGGTGAGAGGATTAAAGGACAAAGTAAAGTTAACAGCCCTTCACAATGTTATATAGAACAACAAATCACTGGCAGGGAACTCAAGTCAGTGATTCGATCCTGCGGTTCTGCTTACGTCCAAAAACGCTTCATTGAATTATTGCCCATTAAGTGACTACCAACCAGCTATTAAACTATATATAGAGGCCAGCTGATGAGTGAGGCTGCGCTTGTCACTAAGTGGGTCAATTCAGCCAGGGCAACCAATTGCCCAATAAGTTTGTCTAGCACCAGTTGGCACCCCCCCATTCTCTCTCCCTACCTCCACCCTCTTTCTATCTATTATGACATCTCTCTCTCTCTCTCTTTCTCAACTTCTCTCTGTCAAATCCTTCAAAAAAAATTGGTCACTTCAATCCACAAAAGTGTCGCTCACCAAATATACGGTCAATTCACTTTACAGTATATTCTGTGAAGCGCTTTAAGACGTCTCGAAGATGTGATAATGCAAGCATTATTATTATAATATTATTCTCACTCTCTTTTTCTCTACTCTCTCTGCTTATTTTTGTTTGGTCAGCCGGATGTTTGACACACTCAGCAACCCATCATGGTGCTTCATAGCGTCCAAACCAGATTGAGAGTTCCGCATACACACACCAACGAAATCAGCCCTGTGTCTGAACAGAACGTACACCCATTTCACTTTAAGGGATGCACCCTACTTACCTCATTCTGGAAGTGTCCTGGAGAACTCACCACTATTCTGTGTGATCGTAAATTTTAAGACAATGGCCTTAAGGCTAAGACTGGGGAAAATTTGAGGCTCTGCGGTGGAGACAGATTTGGACTTGGCAAATCTGTGCTTCTGTGTTTGCAAAACACAACGACAACTTACATTTACACAGACAGTACCCTTCACACAGCGGGAGGTCTTGGACTGAATAACAATAATAATAATCCTTGCATTTGATATAGCGCCTTATCAAGTCTTTGAGACCTTTCAAAGCGCTTCATAAAATATACTGTGAAGTGAATTGAGTGTTTATATCTTGTGGGCGAAACACGGCTAGTAGTGCACAGCAGTGTCCCACCATCAGTCGTGGATTGAGTGACCGACATTATTATTTATTAATGACATAGTTTCACACTGAGCTGAGGAGAATGAGGAGATGACCGGAAGAACAGGTCAAAGAGGAAAGTCTTCAGGTGCGATCTGAAGACGGGCAAAGATGGGGCAAGGCAGAGGGTTCCAGAGGCAATGTTAGATTCTCACGTGAAGACTGGCCCCTCCGGGAGTCAAACTGACTGACTAGCAAATGCCAGCACAAGTCAGCAGAGGAAGAAAAAATTGGGAGCAAAGGAAATGCAAGACACAGAGCACTGTGTGAGAGATGCCAATTAACATATCACCACTGAGAAAATGACTGCTCAGGAATTAAAGGACCAGATCACAGCGCTCGATCGGAAACACAAAATGTAATTTCTGCGCTCCAGTAATTGAGATGTTTTTCTAAGCAGCCAGTGTCTGCCTCAAACATTCTGTCCTCCACTACCTGCAACTCAGTCTCTGCTCCGACCAAACTAGCTGTGAAGCGTTATTCATTTCTAACATTAAACTGAATTGAATTGACCTGCCCTGCAGTGCCCAGCTCCTTTGTAATTAGATTTTGCACAAACTGCACGTAACCAGTGTGTGCTCTTTCAAATATTAATCATACAAATTACGATCTACCAGGCTATTCGTAGCTGCATTAGTGCTCTCCATTTTAATCCTATTCCCTGCTCTCTCCCCATCGTGTCTGTGTTGGGGCTCGCTCCCCCATTGGAGCTCTCTTCTCAACCCCACTCCCTGCTCTCTCTCTCTCCATCATGTCTGTGTTGGGGCTCGCTCCCCCACTGGAGCTCTCTACTCTAACCCCATTCCCTGCTCTCTCTCTCTCTCTCTCTCTCTCTCTCCCCATCGTGACTGTGTTGGGGCTCGCTCCCCCACTGGAGCTCTCTACCCTAATCCTATTCCCTGTTCTTTCCCCCATCTTGTCAGGTGTGTTATATCCAGTAACACACAACAACAAATTATATTTGTACTGCACCTTTCATTTTGGGAGGACGTCCTAAGGAGCTGGACAGTCAGGGATTTCGACTCAAACTGGGAGTTGGGATAAGGAAGGGAGGAGGGCAGGGAGGGTAGGGGTAGGAGGGTGACTGAAGGCAGGGTCGAAGTGGATGGTCTTGAGTTGGGCCTTGAAGGAGCCAAGGGAGGGGGCGAGGCGAAGGGACCTGTCCGCTCCCTCCGCTCAGCTGGCTCCGGCCTGTTTTACCTCCCCGCCTTGCCCGCCCCACCATTGGTGGGCGGGCCTTCAGCCACTCTACCACCCACCCTCTGGAACTCCATCCAACAGTCCCTACGCCTTGCCTCTTCCCTTGCCCCTTCAAGACCCGTCTCAAGATCCTCCTCTTCGTCCGTGCCATCAGTCACCCTCCTACCTCTACGCTCCCCGCCCCCACCCCCACCACTCCTGATCCCAACCACCAGCCCAGGTCCAAAAACCCCTGACTGTCCAGCGCCCTGGGACATCTTTCCGATGTGATACAAGTGTAATTTGTTGTTGTTGAAGGAGGCAAAGAAGAGAGCGAGGCAAAGTCTCTGTGTTATTCTACAATACATTGTTACAGCCAGTAACACACGGTGTTATTATATGACACACACAGGGATAGATAGTGAGGGTCTCGGATTAGCTGTGGAAAGCTGAGGTGTGGGAGCAGAGAGCGCGAGGTGTCCCGGAGAAGCTTACCTGTTATCCTTGGGGGGTCTGCCGACTCCCCCAGCACCAGCCTCAGCCTCTTGGCGTGGGTCTTCCCCTGATAATGTGACTGGGCAACGATGGCCGAGGTGAAGAACATGTTACACAAGCTGCAGCATTTGTTTTTGTCCACCTCTCCATCATCACTGTCCTGGAGATGGGGAGAAAACAACAAAAAACAGGGTTTATAGCTTTATATAAACACACGCACAAAATGTCATTTCACCAGGTATAGCATAAGGCAGGGACTCAGAGCTTATAGTCCAGGCTGACGCCTCAGTGCAATACTGGGGAGCGCTAGATTATCTGAGGCGCTGTCCTTCGGATTAGACATTAAACCGAGGTATCGTCTGTGCCTGTTTAGGACATTAAAGAGGGAATTTCTCCTCCGATGTCCTGGCTGACAATCCACCACATAAATCAGCCATGCACTTCAGGGCTGTTTGTGGAACATTGCTGTGTGCAAATTGGCTGCCGTGTTTGCCTATAAATACAGTCACTGCACTTTATAAGAAACACTCTTCAAAGCGCTTTGAGACATTTTGACATCACAGCTGCTATACCAAATGGAATCGTATAGTGCAGTGGTTGGAGCACTTGTCCTGCAGCGAGAGGACGCAGGTTCGATTCCCAGCCGGACCAAACGTTGGGCAAGTTTCCTCACTCCATACGCCTCTGTTTACCTAGCAGTATTGTTAGTGGATTGGCGGATCGTTTTCCGTGGCTAATGATCCCTTCAACAGCTGGGTTCAATTCTGTGCAATTTTACCTTTAAGGCAAAAAAATCTCGAAGGCTAGGTCTGGGAGGTGTTGAGCCCGTGACAACATTACGTATCGAAGCCTCTGTTTGTGCACAAAAGAGCTCTCTGAATGGAACCCAGAGAAATGCATACCAAGTGTCTCCTGGGGGCAACTTGTCATTAAACGAACAATGGCAATAATTCCTTGTCACTCCAAACAGCTCGGAGTTACATTACCTGTTAATGCACTGCAGTTACAAAAACAATTATCATCCTGCATAATGAAAAAAACCCCACATTAATGCGCAGAGTGGATATTAACAACACAACAATGGAGACTTCAGAGAGAGAATCACATTATAGAGGATGCTTTTGTGTCTGGGGCAGGATTTATTTTGACTGTTTATGATATAAAGACTCGCATCAGTTTTGGCTCAGCTGGCATCACCTTCGCCTGCGGAATGTGGGTTCAAGACCATCATCACAAATCCCAGTCCAGGCTGATGCTCCAGGGCAGTAAAAATAATAATCCTTGCTTTTCATACAGCGTCTCATTAGGCATTGAGATGCCTCAAAGTGCTTCACAGGATTTTACTGTGAAGTGCGGCGACTACACATTCGTAGACGAACGCGGCAGCTAATTTGCGCACAGCAACGCTGCACAAACAGCCATGAAATGAGTGACCAATTTTATGTGCTGATTTGTTGACCAGGGAGAGAGAGAAAGACCCTTCTCTTTTCCAGTCTTTAACATCCATCTGAATATGCACAGGACAGGACCTCAGTTTAACATCTCATCCAAAGGACATGAGCTCTGACAATGCTCCCCCCCCCCCACTTGCACCACTGGGTGTGGGGTTGAGAGGGAAAGTGCTGCATTGTTAGAGATGTTGATCTTTGGATGAGATATTAAAGGTTGTGTCTTTAGTGATGGACATTACAGATTCTAGCACAGTATTGGAAAATTGGCCATAATAAAAACAGAAGTCGCTGGGAACACTCAGCAGGTCAAGCAGCATCTATGGAGAGAGGAAAGTGAGTTATCGTTTCAGGTTGATGAACTTTCTGATGAAAGGCCATCGACCTGAAACATTAACTCACATTCCTTTCCTTTCCTCTCTCCATAGATGCTGCCTAACCTGCTGAGAGTTCCCAGCGTCGTCTGTTTTTATTTCAGATTTCCAGCATCTGCAGTATGTTGCCTTTTGATAAATTGCCCATTTACCTTGGGATCACTGTATGCTCAAAACTGCTACAAATCAAACACTTATCTAATTAATTGCTGCAAAGCTCTTTGAAACGTTTCGATGTATAAGGTACAAATTCCTCCCCCATATCTTAAGAATCACAGATTATTACAGCACAGAAACAGAGCAGAGCCCACTGTGGGTTTCAAGAGGGGAGAAGGCAGGTAAATGAAGGACGGAGGCTGGACAGGGTGTGGGGATAGGACCGGGCCGTGGGAATGAAAATACACCTTGCTCTGAGTGCTGGGGCAGACACCATAGGCCAAATGGCCTCCTTCTGCACAGTAAACGTCTTCGATTCTATACTGCAAAGTGCGGTGACCTCGTAATAATAATAATCTTCACATTTAATACAGCCTTATCACGTCGTTGAGACGTCTAAAAGCGCTTCACAGGGCATATTGTAAAGTGGAGCGACTATATTTTGGGGTGAAATGTGGCAACCAGTTTGGCATAGCCATGGAGTGAGCGACCAATTTTATTTGGAGTATTATTGGCCAGTCACAGCGTGAGAGAGAAAAAACTCCCTTCTCTTTTCGAACAGGGCCGTGGGATCTTTAACATCCACCTGACAGACAGAACCTCAGTTGAATGTCTCATCTAAAGGATTCATGAGGAAAGAAAGAATGAACAGCAACAACAACTTGCATTTACACAGCGCCCGCCCCCCCAGGGTAGCGACCCAGAGCGCTTCACAGTGGCGGAGTCTGACAAGAGGGATAGGGGAGGTGACTGTAAGCACGATCAAAAAGGAAAGGACATTAGGTGGGATTTGAAGGTGGGGAGGAAAGAAAGCAAGATAGATCTGTTCTGCAGAGAGAGAAGAAAGAGACAAAGTGATTAGGAGCGGAGGATGTGGAGCCTGTGAATGTTTCCGGATGGTCCAGACCTTAATTAGGAAAAGCTGCTGGAGCAGCAGTTTGGAGGCTCTCTGGTAAATGAGCTGAGAGAGAGTTTATGGGCTGTGACACAGTCCAAGCTGGAGCTGCGGGAGCTACAGAGAATGAGCCCAGAGGGTAGCCTGCCGCCCGGCCCCTCCAGACGGCTTCATTTCAGCAGATTTACAACTCTCGGGTTACCACCCCTTGTGCAGCCTGTGTCCATGGGAGTTCATGGTGTAGGAGGGGGTTGGGGGAGAGGTTGACTCAGTCCTGGCCTTAAACAGAGCTGTCAAACCGTGGTCTAGTTTGGAAACACCGGGATGAGAAAGTCACTGCTCCTAAATCCCGGCTAATTCACAAATACAGTGCTTGTGAAACGCACAAAAAGGCAGAGTTTCTTCTGGAAGTCAACTCAGCGTGTGTGTGTGTGTGTGTGTGTGTGTGTGGTGGGGGTGGTAGTGTGGAGAGTGTAAGGCGCTGAGTGGGGACAGTGTAAGGGGTTGAGTGTGGACAGTATGGGTTTGAGTGTAGACCATGTAAGAGGTTGAATTAACCTGGACAGAGTCAGCTGGGACACCACCTTGTGCTATTCCCTCGCACTATCGGATATTAACAGTGATAGTGTTGGGGTATTTTCACGGGTTGGTGAGGCGGTCAGGAAAGGCACAAATTTAAGATACTCACAACAAGCGAAAAAAGGGTAGGGAATATTTATTTGCAAAAAGGATGGCGGGAATATGAGATTTCCTATCGCAAACCTTCACTGAAGCAGAGTTTTAAGAAGTGTCTTTAACAACAACAACTTGCATTTACACAGTGCCCCCTCACGCAGGGGACCGTCCCAGAGTCGCTTCACAGTGGCGGAGCTCGACGCCAAGCCAGGGGGAAGAGACCATATGCACGGTCGAGTAGGAAGGTCTTCAGGCACGGTCTGAAGATGGGGAAGGAAGGGGCAAGGCGAAGGGATAGAGGAAGAGCGTTCCAGAGTTTTGGGGCGTAGTGGCAAGGGAATTGAATAGATGCTGGGGGGAAAGGAATAGAAAGGGTGTGAGAGGGAATAAGGAGTGGAGTGAGACTCTTGTGCAGTATCAACACTGGATTAGATGACCTGTTTTTTTTGCTGTAGAAATCTATGTAAATCTGTCTGGAAGGGCAGATAGGTTTTCTGTGCTGTAACATTGTGTGATTCCATTACCGCAGTACAACCTTCCCTGTTTGCCAGCTCCCACTGAACAGGCCTGTCTGTGTGTCTGGTCCTGTGAGCCCTATAAACTGCTTTGCCAGATTGTGGCCTTTAATTTAATTAGAAATCCTTTGAGTGGAATTTTGTCAAGAGCCTTTGAAAGTCTTCAAATTAATCAACAGCCTTGTGAGCGTCGCTCTCCACTTGATGTGAAACACCTCACTAATGTTGAGAAATTCTGTCAGCAGAAAGGGCTAAGTGGTTTGAGGGACAATTTCAGGACGGAAACTAGGAAGTATTTCTTTATACAAATGGTGATCCATAGCTGCAATCCAAATGGCTCAATCCCTTTCCCATCACTCCCACTATACAGATTCCCAATGGACTATTCCATCAGCTTCCATTTTGGTTCCATCTGTCTTGCGATTCAGGTGGATGTAAAGGGATTTCTCTGCCTTTGCTGTTTGAGAAAAATGTAGAATCATTCTCTTGATTTATCCGGGTTTCTATTCTCCTTCCTCACCCTCAAATTCATCCTTAGATTCAGATGAATTGGCTGCTTGTCTCAGTGTGGTGTGCGGGTCATCCCTGGTGAGGGTTAACTGCCATAATAATAATAATAATAATCCATGCCTTTGATATAGTGCCTTATCATGTCGTTGAGACGTCTCAAAGCGCTTCATACTGTAAAGTGAATTGACTGTGTATTTTGTGGGCGACATGCATTCCGCTCTGCAACAACATCCACATTCATTTCTATTCAACCTCACTTTTACAGAGCCTCAGGACATTTATTTTATGTGAAAGGCGCCCATTTTTCTTAGTTGTTATTGATATTATTGCTCCTAATTCACGTAGAACAATTTTTTAAACATCCCAACCAACACTGAAAACATTCACCAATTAACCTGCTTTTTAACCTGCAGTAACCTTAGACACAATCAGTCCATCAGCACGTTTCCGTCTGTTATATCACCCGAATAACTGAATGAATTAATAAATAAACAGCCTGTGAAACAGAGGCTTCTGTGTCCTGCTTCTTACACTTTTTACACAAACTTTGCTGCTGTATAAACCAGTGTGTGGATAGGGCTGGGCGT